ATGTCAACGAATATTCGAATATTTGAATATTCATTTGATGAGTTGATATTCGAATATTAATTCATGATTCGAATATTCGGATTTTAAATATACAAGCATCAAAAATAAAAAAAAAAATCAAATTCTCATCGTTGACTAATAATAAGATTTTATTTCAAACAAAATCAAAAGACACTTCTCTTGGATTACCTTAAAATTGTGAAGAATGTGTCTTCTATTAAAATAATATAGATTCTTCATTTGATCATTTTATTAGAGGTATAACAGTGTCAAGTACTTAGAATTAGTTTGTATTGTTAAAAAGACACATTTTGTTTATGTATACATCATTAAAAATCATTATCAGGAAATTAATAAGCTAAAAGTAATTGCTTTTAATGTTTCTCCATTAATTAATTGTTCTGTGTGGTATAAATCTGTAGGGTTATCAGTGTACACTTTGGTAAGATGATTAATTAATCTTGAACATAAAAGTTAAAAGAATTAAAAGAATCTTTTGAATTTCGGGGAAATTTTTTTTATTACATTTTAGATATAAACTCTTCATATATTATGTAAAATATTTTAAGAATATAAATAAAGTGCATTTGCAAAACTCTACATGAAATTTCCAAAATATTGACATTAAACGTATATTGCTTGACATAAGAGTGAAGATAGATGTATATACATATTATAATACAAGATGTATTTATTTTATCGAATATTCGAATATATTCAAATACTACTATCGAATATTCGAATATCAATTATTGACAATTTTGACATCCCTAAACAAAACATGTTGGATAAGAAGCATTTTATATATTATTTCTATTTCTAGTAACTAAGGCAACACCGTTCACAGAAATCAAAAATCGATACAGAAATTAAGTATCTTAGTGTTGTCTTTTTGTGTGCCAAGTTATATTGAAATCAAACCAAAACTGCAGGAGGAGTAGCATTTTGAAAACTTGTTTACAGACAGCTGCAGACAGGCAAATGTACTACAAAATGAAGTATGTGAACTTCATTTGACATGATTTTCATAATTTGTAATTATATATATGTATTAGTTTTCAAAATTATTTCTAAAAAAAATCATGCCACAGTAATGTATTCTTTGTGTTTTATATACATTTTGTACTTAAACATAAATTGTCAATATTGATGTCTCTCCTTTTCAAAATTTGAGGAAACGAAGCAGATTAAAAATACGATTATAGTGAGAATAAATTTATTTTTCGATATGTGTTAAGCTGTATAAAATCTAAGATACTAAGTTTGGAATATTTAAATATATTCTATATATTTTAGTTTGAGTATTCAAATCACTGTATCAAATTAAAAGGAATTTTATTGCTTGTTCGCTTCTGTATTTCCAGTAAATAAAATGGTTCTTTTAAAGGATTTGAATATCATTTTATATATCCCTTTGTTTGTATCTCTTAAATTTCTTCCAGCTATCTGACTGTCTCTTAAACATCCGTGGCTTAAATATGTTCCCTTGACTAGATAGAAAACACAGTAAAGCTTCATTAATTACCATAAATAAAGCACAAGGGCATATATAAATATTTTGACAAGTGATATATAATTGTTCAGGAAAGGTAGATGTGTGTTTCTCTTAGATATCACAAGCGATTTCTAAATTTTCTATCATTAAGGGTTGCAACTGCAACGCTTAATGATACACAATTGTGTATCATTAAGCTACGAATATGTCGATATTTGCTTGTTTCATTAAGCGTCGGTGTTGCACTGCATTTGTGACGATTAATGATATAATTCTGTCATTAAGCGGCGATTTAGCATTAGCGGTTGATAATGTCAGCTATTAATGCTATTAATGCAATAAGAAGAAGGTATGGTTTCCATACAAATTTTGCCCTGTGATTTTCTAAAAAAATGAAACTAGTGTAAAAGTTGAAAACTCCTGCTTTTTAAATAATTGAAATTCAATGCAGAAAAAATCACACAAGTCATTTTTCTCATGTGTTTTAAATGCTAATTATGACGTCATAAACATGTGCATTTTCCATTATTTTCTGAAAAAGTTGCAGAAGACACCAATTTTCAATGGAATTTTCTTTCAGATAACATTGTCCACAGGCATCGCCCACAAAGATCTTGAGACATGTGATTTGTTATTGAATTTTGCCCAAAATATCGAAAAATTAACATGGGCGACGGCTGTGGACACTGTTTTCTGAGGGAAAATAACCCTTGAAATTTGTCATTTTGAGGCTTTTTCTGTTGAAAATAGAGAAATGCTTCACATTAATGACGTCATATTTGCAGAATGGTAAACCTTCATGCCATATTCTTTCCTGATTTATCAGAGTCATTTATTTAACTAATATTTAAACCAGTTTCAAAACTTTTTGATGTCTTTACATTTTTAAGGCGCAATAAAGCTAAAACCATACCTTCTTCTTTATGGCATTAAGCGTTGCAATTGCAACGCTTAATGCTATTTGCATCATTAAGCGGCGTTTTATCATTAGAGGTTGCTACAAAGCCTTGTAAAGCCTTACATGTTACGGAAATATAAAAGGACATCCCGATCCCCTGCACTGCGACCAAAATAAAACAAAATGCAAGCATGTTGTTGCGGTTTTATGTCATGTACTTTCAGCATTGAATTTTATTTTATGTCAGCATTTACATGAAGAAATAAAACCTGACCCTGGAATTATTAGGATTTTTTTTTTTTTGTCAAACAAAACAAACAAAATCATAACATGTGTTTTTACATGTATAATGATATTTATCCATAAATTGATGGCAGGCAGGTTAAACAATAAACTCCACACTTATAACTGCAGTGAGATTATAAGTCCAGTGATGAAATGGGTTTTTTGCATGCTAATTGATCTGTTAAGAGACATTCAATGCCGATCGAGCTTTTGTGTAAGACAAAGTTCTTCATGGTTTCAGTGATTAATTTGCAGATAATTCTTAAAACATTTGAACTCTCTTTTGAAATGAAACACCACGTTAGTACCAAAGAGTTACATGTATATTAAATTTGGAGATCTTGAAAATAAAAAGCCATACATGTAATTTAAATAACAAAAAAAACTTTTCTTCATTTTAGAGTATTTTATTATTTTGTTTGTTTTGAAAACTCATCTTTTTCAATAGAGTTTCACACTTCTCAATATAGGATACATAGATACAATATAAATATCTTTATCTATACCCTCCATCCTCTCTCTCTGAGTCTCTCTCTCTCTTGCCATCTCTCTCTCTCTCTAATAAGATTTACTTGAACAGCTCTATTCAATTAAGTCAGAACATTTAGATCACTTTTTTATTTGGATGTTTTTTCTTGTTTTAATTTTTCTAAATTGAAGTGTCTTATAGTGCAACAAGAAAATCATTTTGAAAGTATGTTTGTTTATTTAATAGTTACTATTTTCCTTTTTTTTTTCTTTGTTTTTCCTTTTCTAGATTAACGGGACCTTGTTCCCCAAAGTACAACAATATTTTTTTTTTATTTAAAAAATCATAATTATGCTGAAAGTTTAAAGTGTTTTTATTTGGTCAAAAGATCTCTTTATAATCCGGGAGAAAATTCAAATTCATACAAATGAAGTCCCTCTCTTGTACCCCTGCTATATCGATTGTTGACATGATCAGAGTTATATCTCCTATTTCTTATTTATAGAAAATACAAACATCTTTACTGTTGTTCTTACACATTTTTGTTTGATTTGTAAAAACATAGAAGATGTATGTTTAGTTTCAACATTAGTACAAACAATTTAATAAAAGTTTAAAGTAGTATGCACAGATGGATCATTGTTTACATGTGATCGACGCGATCGCAATGTATATCGAGAGTTGTGGAGCGGATCTCCAAAAAAAAAAAAAAAGGAAGACAATCTTCCTGTGCAATATTTTAACATTTTACCCCTGTCTAACATGCATCCTAAATCTGATATATAAATATGTAAATAAAATTTATCTATCTAGAGTATACAGATTGATTATTCTATCAGAAAAGCACCTTTTCGACAGCTTCTCATCTTCGGCAATCGCTAGCGAAGATGTCAGACAGTCATGTAGGAAAATTGTTTGTGTTAGAGACGTGTGATATATATATATATATAATATATATATATATATATATTTATATATATATATATATTCATATATTATATATATTAATATATATATATATATATTCCACATATTGGAAACAGCAACAAAAACTCTGGATGCGTCAAACGTCAAAACACGTGGTTAAAGAAATTCTGCGTCGAAGTTCAGCGTCAGTCTGCAACGTCACATCTTTATGACGTTATTTCTCGTTCTAGCAAAAATGCCATAAGGCCCATTTGTCATGGGCGCAATCACTTGTGAAAAGACCCTACATTGGGTAACAATATATTAAATTTGCATTTAAGGAAAGTTTAATCTTCGCTCTGTTGCCGTACAGGGTCATCAGTGTTAAACGAACTTATTTTTTTTTCTTTTGATTGAGAAGAGATATGACATTCATATTGACATGTGCTAGACCTCTACCTTCAGAAATGAACTTATCATTTTAAAATATCAACTTTGGTGATAATTTTTAAATGGCATATGATAGGGCGTTCATATCTGACACAATATGTCAGAAAAAATGACATTTCACAAACAAGACCCGTAAAGCGGGGACCACAATTCTTTGAATTCGCTTGTTTACATTCAGTAATTAAACGACATTTGCTCAGTTTGATAGGTTACTATTAAAGCTGGTCTTTGAATCACAATGAACTAATACCGGTTTACTATTGACGCGAGTCTGTCTGGTATAATGTAATCATTCTCCTTGACCTCGATCTACTTTGATATTAAGATCAGCATTTGTTTTCATTTGCAAAAGTCCTCCAGATTCTACTTAAATATGAAAGTATGATTTTGTATTTTAAATAGTATCCCTCATTTTAAGACATAAAATATGTAAATATACCCCAATATCTTACATTGTCAAGAAAAAAAAACTTGCACTGTTTGCTTTATTAACTCACTGTTATCTTTAGAATCACTACTGACATCCTTATCGGTGTCACTAGTGACCCACTCTCCTTCTTCTTCATTTCCTAAACTATCTTCTGGTTTACTTTTGACACCAGTCGTTTGGACAGCAGGCTTTATTTTCTCTATTTCAGCATTTATATCTGTCTCGTTAACGTCAGGGATGTTCTTCTTAGGTTCTGTTTTGACAAGGATCTCAGCGATAACTTTGTCTCTCTCCTTTGGCTTAATATTTGCTACAACATCTGCAAAACAAAATATTTCATTACGGAGACGATTTTTGGTCAAATCAGATGTTTTTCTACTGTTCAGGCTTGACATATATTTCTTGTACATCCATCCTATCATAATACATGAAGCAAAAACCCTTTCAGAATCCTTCAATTGATATTTCTAAAGTACTCTGCAAATATTCTATAAATGTGATCTGTTTTCCTTATTCACTTATAGTTCATCTTTGTTGACTTTCAATTTGATTTTAATGATATCTTTTAATTTTCAAAGATTAATACAGTCCCTGAAACGTTCTACTTTCCCATTTTTCCGTTCGCTCACCGTTCGTTCAGCGTTCGTTCACCGTTCGTGCAGCGTGCGTTCACCGTTCGCTCTTCGTTCACAGTATTGCGTTCACCGTTCACCGTGCGCTCGCGTTCACCGTTCACAAAACGTTCACCGTTCGCTCTTCGTTCCGTTTACTTTGCGTTCATCTTGCGTTCACCGTTCACTTATCGTTCAGTCTTCATTGTCATTCGGAACTCCGAAGTGAAAGGACTTATCTTTTTGATGGTAAGGATTTACATGTTTTTTAATTAAATAACTTAGATATCGTGTTTAAAGAATAATTATTTCATTGCAAAAATTATCCATGATATGTATATTTCTATTATTATAATTCAGCTGTTATTTATTTCATGAATTTTCCCTAGAAAATAATTAATACATTAAGTACCTACATGTATGTAGAACGATGCTAAAATATTAAATTCAAAAAGGGCAATGTACAAATGCTTCACGTGGCATCAATTTGATGTAATTTTAAAGAGGACAAATTATTAATGGATGTATAATAATTAATAGCAGTCTTTTACAGGACAAGAATACATAAAAAAATTATTTCAACAGTAACATGTATTTAAACTACATGTAGGTTTGAGAAATATGAACAGACTGCAAATATTCAGTTAATTAAATATCTTTAGAGCTAATTAAATTGATGGTGTGGTTTTAAATTTTAGAAAAGACCAACTGTTAAGAATAGTTTATTATTAGAGAAGAAAAATTTCTTCCTTCTCCGTACCTTAACATGTTTAAAAAATATCTTTCTTGCTATTCAGTATAATTAATCCCCCCCCCCCCCCGGTGCCTTTTCTCCCGATATAAATTCCTATTGAGTTATTTTTTTTTCTGCAGGAATGCAAAAATCAGATCTAGAAATGATAGGGAAAAATATCAAAATTTCTTGGAATACTAAGTGACTCCTTGTCTTCGGCATGTTCGGTGAAACGCGATTTCCTCACCTCCACTGTGTCGAATTATTTTGATTGACAGCACAAGCACGCTACTACAAATATAGCACGGACTTCCTGTGAACTGTGTGAACTTGATGATGGAAAATAAAAGCCAATGTTTACTGTCAAATGGATTTGTTAATCTAAAAAATAAAGATTACCTTTATTGCTTTGAATATTTAGGAAAAATAATTTGAATTTTTATTTGATACAACATATATCTGAGAATCGAGGGGGTTATCTCTCTCTCTCTCTCTCTCTCTCTCTCTCTCTCTCGTACATTTCTCTGTTCAATAAAAACTATGACAACACATTACTTATTTAGTTTTGAATATTTAATCTACACATGTATAACAAATAATTTGAATGCCTCTTTCCAACATCTTGACCGAGAATAATCACGGCCGGGAAATGTCTACAGATGCATGAAGAAGTTAGCTAAAATAATCGTCATAAAAGATTAAAAAGGCATATAAATATAGAATATTTTGCAGTAGAATTTAAATAAATTAAACGAGAATTTTTATGCAGTACAATAACAGTCAATGTGAACAGATAATTGTGAATTTAAAAAAAAAAATCCGTTATTTTACTCAGAATCGCTTTGGCACAGAAATACATGTTGTTTCAACCCCGTACAATGTAATTAATTCATTCTATAAGTAGCAGTTTCATCTTCAGAAGTCCACATTATTTTATTAGTGAAAAGAATAAGCATAATTATTTACTATATAATTAGATTAATTTATTTTTTTTAAGTACACGCGGTCACAAATACACGTTTGATGGCGATTAAAATCATGTTATTAAAATATCGATTTTAATATACGTATGTGTAATTTTTTTTATTATTTATTTATTTATCTATTTTGTTTCTCTTTTGTTTATCTATTGTGTATTTATATTTATTTTTGACATTTGAATTATAGAATAAAAGAATAATTTCAATACAAGGAAAAGACCGAAGGCATTCCGAATAAATTGTTCATCTTGCGTTCACCGTTCGTTCACCGTTCACTTTGCGCTCGCGTTCGCGCTCCGTTCGCGTTCTGCGTTCACTCACCGTTCACCGTTCACACATCGTTCACAAAGTTGCGTTCACCGTTCGCACATCGTTCACTCACCGTTCGCTCTGCGTTCGCTCTGCGTTCGTTCACAGTTCGTTCACCGTTCGTTCACCGTTCAGGTGGGAGAGTAGAACGTTTCAGGGACTGTATTACTTACTTTTAAATGTATGTTTTTTTTACTAAAAATTATTTTAAAAATGTTGACCAGAATATTAGTATTTTCTATGTTTAACAAATACATGTATCTTTTGATTTATGCATCAAAATCTCAGAACTAGTAAATAAAACCGACCTGCTTTGTTCCAGCTAGAATTTAGCATATTAATTACGTCGGAATGGTCTGCATAATATAGAGCATTGCAAATACTCTGTCTTATGAGTGATTGTCTGTCGTTTTGGATTCTGAATAAGGCTTTCAGTATTTTTTCCTGAGTAGTTCTATTATCTCTCTCAATCTGATCTATATCACACTGTTTCAAACCAAGAAAGCGCAAGACATGATGAGATCTCGAGGCTAATTTTTTACTCATAATGATAAAGTCAGAATAATCAGCTTGTTCTCTTGGATTTACTAAAGCCTCTTTTTAACAGTATCTGTTTTTAGAGAACATTTCCATTCTCTCAATTAAATCCTGTCTTTCCATAGAGGAGAAAACTTCCTTCAATTTAGCTTTGTGATCTATGCGCGGATATTTACATCGCCACACATAGAAAACCTTGCAATATGTTTCAGAGGGATCCCCGTTGATGTAAGCCGTTTCTGCCAATTGAGGTTTACGAAGATATGAAGAAACTGTATGTTATATGTATTAAATGTATAATGGTAGATGCAATAATTAATTTAACCACACTCCAGAATGTCGGAAAAATTCTACAACATCGTTTCTGTTTTATGAAAATTAGCCTTCTTAAAGTTTTGGAGCTATTCTTATCATGGTTTCAGTATAGTAAACCAGTTATGAAGGTAAGTTTTTTTGGAAATGAGAATTGGTACATATGCATGCAAAGATTTATATTCAAAGTTTAAATATGTTAAAAAATACTTTGAGACACATTTCATCGTAAAACGGGTTAAATGTATATAAAATAAGCCAAATAATTCCAAAATTCGATTATATGATCAGTAAATTTGTTTGTATCGTCAATTTTAAAAATAGATAAATATAGTGATTTTTTTTACACTGATTAAATACGTACATGCACTTAATTAGATTAAATATGTAATTTAATTAACCATTTATAAACCAAATTCTGAATTTCAAAAACTATAATTTTCTAAAATGCAGCATTTCCCTAGTTGTGTGTTTGTGTGCGTGTGTTTCTTTTCTTAAGTACCGAGTCAATCAAAGTAATTTATGGATTAAACAGATATTATCAAAATAAATAAATGATAAGTAAATAAATAATTAATCACTGTAAAAAATGTAAATATTTTTATCAATATATTTTTTGGTAATTGACTAGTCACTAAGTTAATCAATTATTCATATCCCCAAAAATAGACTTTTTAGTTTTAATTTATATAAACATGTTTATCCTAAAATATGCTACAAACTATTTTTAAGCATATTTAAACGATTGTCAATTGTTTTACGTCCATGATGGATATCAAAATAATCATCTCATTATGCACAATGTTAATACGTTAATTGCAATTCCATACTTTTGTACTTTGTTTTGTTTGAAAAAAATAGGCTTTCAATACTCTAACACGATTATGAAAGAATTTCAACGCCATTGATAGTTTGCCAGTGACCCGGGGTACACAGTGATGACACCTATTGTATTTTTCACTTACCACTTTACACCCCTACTACTGTTATTGTGATTTAAATTTAAGACACGGTTTAGGGTTTGGTTGACCTATGCAAAGGCTATAGGGTAAACCCGGTTTTATAAATAAAATTGACAAGAAAGAAGAAATTGTTATAGTCTGTATGTCCTGTAAAATTTGCTTCCAAACCTTTCTGAAAGACTTTCATGATTTTAAACAGGAAAGGAGTGGCTACAGGGGGAGGGGGTGTTAAACGAACATTATATATCTTATCATACTTTACGGCGGAAATTATAGCTTACTATCGACGGATTCGCTTGTAAAAAAAATAGGTGTATAGATCATCTACACTGACAAACCTTTGGTTGCCTTACATGGCTATTGTTATAAATGCACACAGAGAATTTTACCACGAGCAACTGACCAAAAGTTTACGCCAAATACATGTTTACATTCTACTTCGAACGCATATTTCACTATAATCATGTTAATGGAGTGTAAAATAAAAAAAAAATTCTTATGAACAAATTACAAAGATTAGAAACTGCGAAAGATTTGTTTGTTAACTAGAAAAAAAAAAGTTTAATAAACTGTATTTTTTCTCTAGTTTAGAACAACAGCGTTTCAAGGGTAAGAAAAACAAACAACATCTCTTATGCATTTAAATGGACAAAACTTTGTTTACATAACTATACATGTACTCGTGATCACGTGTTTGGCCAGGGAATGCATCTGACAATTGTATTCAGCGATAGTACAACACCCGAAAAAAAGAATTAATTAAAACACAGATCGCTTTGCAGTATGACATTGAGAAACCTAGACTTCAACCGTTTATTTAACAAATGAATTGTTTTTCATTGTGAGCATGCCCGCCGAAATATGGCTGAAATACT